TGTCTGTCTGTCTGTCTGTCTGTCTATCTATCTATCTATCTATCTATCTATCTATCTATCTATCTATCTATCTATCTGACATAATATACACACACACAAAGTACAAAAAAAAACAATATTACTATGAAAAGGCTAACAGCATCAGATTATGAACAATAGAACCACCTCATCAGATCACTGTTCTCTTGTGACCCCCCAAGCATGTTGATACAACCAGGTTTTAAAGGATTTCTGGTAAGTTGGCAAAGATGAGGCCAATCTCATCTCAGAGAGAATGATGTTCCACAGGGCAGGTATCATGGGCTTATCTCTTGGGTGATGGGACTCTCATCATACCTCTTCTGCTGGACCTTATGGGGTGGGCAGATGTAATTGGGAAGAAGTGGTCCTTCAATCTGGCCCCATGTTGTGAAAGGCTTTAAAGGTCAGAACCAGCACCTTGAACTGGACCTGAAAGCAAATTGGCAACCAATGCAGCTCGTGGAGCAGAGATGTAATGTCTGCCACTGCATTCTGTACAGTAATGGAATTACATTTTGAAAAGTTCTGATAAAATAGGTACAATAAAATACAATCAGACTCTGAGATTTGTGAAAACAGAAATAGTAACATAAGCAAAACAGTTATAATAGTATCTTGTTGAAATGTATGGAATGGAATTTAATCAGACTGATACATCCCCTTAGTGGTGACAAATTTTGTATGTTTTGAGCATATCAATACAAGAGTTGAACAGGAAGATTCAATGTACTGGTTTAAATATTGACATATTGATGTAGCCAGTGCCCACTGGAGTTTCCTGAGGCACAATCTGGTCCAGTTGCCTGGGAAAAGTTTGAGCCTATTGGTCCTGATGAAATGGAGACTGTCTTCGGTACTGTGAGTTTATCCACCTGTGTTTTAGATCCCTGTTCCTCTGGCTGATTAAGTTTTCTTGGGAGGTGACAGGTGGTTAGTTCAAGGCGGTGTTCATGCAGTGAATGCTTCTCTGCATGAGAAGAGGGAACCTCTTTTTAAGGAAGGTTGTTGAGAAAGTGGTTAGCTTACAACTCCAGAGGCCCTGGAAGAAGCGGATTATCTGGATCCTTTCTAGTCAGGATTCAGGCCTGGTTATAGTACTGAGAGGGCATCGATTGTGCTTCTTGATAACCTCTGTTGGGCTTGGGATGAAGGCAGTGCATCCATCTTGGCCCTCTTTGAGCTCTCTGTGGTGTTCAACAACATCAGTCATGGTATCTCCTGGTACAGCTTAGAGGCTTGAGAGTAGGAGGCACTGTGTTATAGTGGTTCTCTCTATATTGTGGGGGCTAGCTCCAGTTGGTATTGGCAGGGGGGAGAGGTTAAACTTGAGGCCTCTGCCTTGTGGAGTGCCTCAGGTTCCACTCGCACACCACTCCCACCCAACATTTACATAAAGATATCTTGTTTATAAATCATCAGCTTTTTAAAGAGTAAAGGATAGAAGATAATACAGTGAAAGAAGAAAAGCAGATATTTAGGAAACTTCAAAAGTGGAAAGAAAATAATAATGAATATATTTTGGAAGAACATTGCAGGAAGATGGATAGAATAGGACATTCGAGATTAACAAGAGAAATAAATCCTATAATATCATCACATTGCAAAGCATTAGTGGGATTTTTTAAAAATAAAAAATATAGCAGAATTAGAGAAAACTCCTCTCTGAAATGCCATTTGCATCCTGCCCAGCTTAGTTCTCTTTCTATCCATTCTGAAGAAAAGTTGTTTCATTCCTATCTACTCATGAGCCAATGGGTTGTCAAAAAAAGTGCATTCTACCCTCCCACAGAGCCACTTTTTTCTTGATTGTTAGGGGAGGTTCCAGCAGTACAGAAAGAAAGGTTTCTTTCCTCTCCCCCCAAAGATACTCATACTATTAAGAGCGATTTTACAACATTGCAATTTGACAATTAACAGTGTTAAAAGCTTAGTAAATCATAATATGAAGCAATTAGTAATCTAAAGCTCTAATACAAGAGGTGGTATTGACATTATAGCTACCTGAAAAGCTTTAGGTGAATTATTTTTATGCACATTCTTTCTTATTAACTAAATATAGAATTTATCATCCACCACTTTAATTTCTGGAAATATTATAGTGAGCGCAGGGACAGTGGGAAGAACAGGACTTTCCTAAGACGTCACAGTCCCTGGAGTGGTTCCTAGAATCATAGGATTCAAGCGTAGGAAACTCCTTTTGACACAAACAAGCTGCCTTTTGTCAAACAGCTAGAAGACTAACCAAGCAGCTCATTTTATTTATTCATTTGTATCTTAGACAAACCCAAAGTGGTTAAGTCATTTGAACCCTTTGTCTTAAACCAAAAACTGTCTGAGTTGGGACATCAAATGTAATTCTTTTGTATAGTCTCCTTGTGCCTACTTTTTTCTTCCCTAATTGCCAGGCTACTTGATGGATGACTTATATATTCAGCAACACTATGGCCCAAAAGTTATCTAAAAGCTGAAAGGTTTTTAATTGAAGCACAAGGTCTTCAGAGAATCTTGAAGAGGCAGAGCAGAAAATGTGGAAGGAGTATGAAGATTTAATGTCAAAAATTCTTTATTTCCCAAATAACTATTAAGGGAATTGTGGATTATATTATTTCATTTTTCATACTTTAATTTTTAGCTTAAAATTAAATTTAACTCTTGTTCTGCTTTGGAACTGCACTGCAAATATTAAAATAATCCCTCAAATATGTGAAAAAGGTCCCAAAGTAATAAGACTTGTACAGAAAAAAGCATGATGTTCAACTTGTCTGTTCCTGTTTTTACATATGAGCTGTGCAATTTAATAAATGCTTAATATTTAATTCATTTTTTATTATAGATAACTGGAATCCATTTTCCCATCCATATAAGAAAATGGATTTTGGGAAATGGGAATTGTTCATCCCACCTGGACCAGATGGGTTTCGTCCTGTATCTCATGGATCAAAGCTGAAGGTACTTGTTTCTTTTGATTGTTTCATTTATTCTCAAAGTCAATAATTGAAGTTATTTAGTGTTCAGTTATGTACCGTTTAATATTGCAAAGTTCAAATAAGACTTGCAGACCCTTTTCTTCACCTCCATGGATTGCTGTCAGAATAATATAAAACAAAGTTACCATACTACGTAATGAACAAAACAAATTCTTAGGAACATAGTTGGTGACTTTATAACAATCCTGAATATAAATAACAGTTTAATAAATGTATGGCTTGTAGCTAGGGCCACAGGGACTAATGAATGGCAAGTTCAAATTATGTGCCTATAGTAATAAATGATGAAATATCGTAATAGATTCTGAATGAAAGGAAGCCATTCATGGTATCTTTCTTGTGTCCCTCCCCCCTCATGGTCTGTCTGGACTGTTGGGGAACAGGTTGGTATGGTTGCTGGTTGGAGAAAATTAGCCAAAATAATTTGGAGAATTGCCTTTCAAAGACTCTAAGTAGAAAGAAAGTAACTTTAATGTCTGTTCCAAAAGAGTACAGCATATAGAAACATTCACATAATTTGTTTAATATGCTCTATATACTATAGGAATCATTACACTGGAAGTTTTTCTAAAGAATGCACAAGTAGGATAATTATCCTAACTAAACTATAAATTAAAATGTTTATAACTATAAACATTTTAATATAGTTTAAGTTTTATATTTTAAAACTTGCTAAACTTTTGTGAGCAGATATCTTCATGAGGAAAGGCACTCTTTTAATTCCATTTTTTTTTAAAGGAAGCTGACATACCTTTTATATGAAATTATAACATTACAGAATAGGATAGAAATGCTTATACACAAAATAATTAAAGATAAGAATGATGAAGAATATATAAGCAGAATTCATAGAGAATATTTACACACCACAGAATCCTCCATCTCGGTTGCTGCATTTTTGCATCTTTAATGACAGCAGGTTATACAAAATTACTTGCTAAAAAATATGGTCAGGATGCCTAGAAGAGCAGGTAAGAACATAAGCAAAACAAAAGTATCAGAACAAAATATTTTGAAAAAAAAAATCACGTATGGATAAGACATACAACTTGATGAAAAATGATTATGGCCAGAACTTATAAATACATTAGGAATGTATTATGCATTTTTGTAGCCAAATTAAAATAGATAACTCTGTTCCTAATTCTAAAGCATCATCAACACAGTATTTATCTAGAAATGTCAGTGAATTCAATGGAGCTTACTCTTTCAGATAAGTGTCTATCAGATTGCACCCTAATACTTTTATTTTCCTAAACTTTGTATAGTAGGTTATATTCATTCAGCATATACAGCTTCACTTATAGGAGTACTGTTCTTAATAAATGGAAACTTCAATTTAAAAGTTGAATACAACCCTACAGAGAAGTATGTTTTCTTACATTTTCATATACTTACATATTTCTTTCATTTAGAAAGAAGAAACCTCAAGAGGTTTATATGAGAATTTTCTTTCATTTCCCATAGTAAATAAGCTGTGAAGTTTGTTGGGCTAACAGAAAATTACTAGTCCCAAATCACTCAGTTTCTATAGTTGATGATGAACATTTTGTGTTCATCATCTACCACCATAATCACAACATCACACTGACTTTTATTGGTTATCAAATAAATTTCATGTACAGTATGCCCTGAGATAAAGAAATCTTTAGTACATAGGTGGGAAGAGACTACAATGATATGGACTGAATCCAAGCTGTAGATTAAAAAAATGAAGCAAGACCACATGAACACTTGATTTCAGAAGCCAGTTTCAAGAAGCTTAGAAGAGTAATAGGTGGGATCCCATGGTCTTGTTCCCAAAGGATAGTTTTGTTTAAATGATAGAACAATTGACAAAGGAGGAAGTGTCAGTCCAACACAAGTAAAGAAATGGTAATGAAGCATCTGGCTATCAGTGAGTTCTGAGGACCAGACAATTACACCCAAGACAAAGAGCATGTTGACGTTATCTTGGAGTCCCTTTATGTGATTTTTAAGAAATTGTAAAGAATAGGTACTGTATATGCTAGAGGATTGGAAAAGGCCAAATGTTTCTGTCCTTAAAATTGGGAAAGAAAACTTGGGTAACTACGCTTTGATCAGCTTGACATCAGTACAAGGCAAAATTCTGGAAAACATTACTAGGTCAGTTTGTAAGCATTTAGAAAATAATGCATTGTTTGGCAGAAGCCAACATGAGTTTATAAAGAATAAATTTTGCCATACCAATCTGATCTCCTTTTCTAATTGGGTAAAGAGTTTAGTTGACAACAGGAATGTAGCAAACATAGTTTAGCTTAGGTTCAACAAAGCATTTGTTTCCCAAATGTTTCTAGTAGAGAAGATGAGTAAATGTGGGCTGGACTATGCTACTGTTAGATACCGAGCAATTTGAACAGTAATACCCAACAAATAAACATCACTGATCACACTGTATGCTAAAATGTTCTGTTCATGACCCTAGCCTAATGACTTCAGTGAAGGATTAGACAATATGATTTATCAGATTTGTAGATGACACAGTGAAAGGGGAATGCCAAGCAACTTAAAGGATAGTGTCAAGATTCAGAGGGTTGTTGACAAGTTGGAATGTTAGGCCAAAAAAATAATAATAATAATTTCAACATAAACAAATGCAAAGATCTACATTTGGGTAGTAAAAACCGAAGATATGAGTTTGGAAGATACTATAGTAAGCAGCAGTGTATGTGGGGGGAAAAAACTGAGGTGTCTAGATAGAACACAAGCTGAACAAGAACCAACAATTTCATGAAGTTGCTAAAAAAAAAATGCTATCATTGGTTATAATAGCAGAAGTATAATGTCAAGATCAAGATAAATCAGACTTGTGTGGAACTTGTGTATGTCTAACATGGAGAACAGAAAACTATTGGGAGATACAATAGTTGTGTTCAAGTATTTGAAAGTCCATCATATAGAAGATAGACAGAATTTTCAGAGTTGTTCCAGAAGGCAGGATATTTAGCAATGGCTTTAAGTTATAATAAAATAGATGTAATTGTATTTCATTAAAAAAAAGTTTTATCAGTAAGGACTGTTCAATAGTGGAACAGACTTGGGGAGTAGGGGGAAAGGTCTGTAATTCACCAGAGCAATTTAAGCAGAGACTGGATGGTTATCTGTTGGAGATCCCCTAGCAATGGATTCATGTACTAGGCAGAGAGTTGGACAAATTATCTTCAAGGTCTCTTCCAGCTCCTACATTGTATGTTTCTAAGTGTGTACTAGCCACATTGGAAGCAAAAATTCCAATGAATAAATGAGCTTTTATCTCATTTTAAACAGTGCAAGATTTAACCAAATAAGCCCTAACTCTTTATCCCCTAAGCAGCAGACTTGTGACAGGGAATGTTCCTATTTATGCTCATGGAATTTGTCCATTTCTGTTTTCAATCTTGTTGAGCAAAAATAGAACTAACCATTCTAGGTCAGAGGGTAGGAAAGAGGGAGGGCAGTTAGTTCTGGATTTTTTGAAGGATTATAGTGGTGGACAGCCTGTTACCTACCCCCTTGGCTTTAAAAGATATTGGAAACTGAAATTTGTATCACTAGTAATTATTGGCATGATGACTGATATACAGTATCTCTGTTATATTAGTCCTATCAATTCATATGTGTTTTGCTTTTCATAGTTGAGATTAGAGTTTTCATTTTGGTTTAGATGGCGTAGATGAGACTATAGGATTGGATTTATGTTTTTAATGAATAGACCAGTAATGATACCTAAAGTGACATTTAATGCAAAAGTAAAAGAGAGAAGTTACTGGTTTTTAATAATTCACTAGAATACATTTTATATGCTTTTTTGAAATTGAAAGTTTCCATTTGTTTTTATGAATAGAGTTACATCTCCCTCTTTTGGAAAATCAAGGCATGACCTGTTTCAGAGACAAGGCTTTGTTACTTGATACAAGCCCTGCCTTTTTGTCTGCCTGTCTGTCTATCTCTCTCTATATCCATCTATCTAAACATGGACGTACTGGCACTGCTCTCTTTTTTCCAGTAATATTTAAACAACATTAATCAACCAGCTCCAACAAAATAATTAAAATATTATACCAATTAAAAACTCTCAGTCTTAGTAAACATATATTGAATGTTAGCAATAAAGGAGCTATGCAAATATTTGTTGTGATTTCAAAAGGATTGGTGCCATCAATGCAGTTATCCAGCTTTTTAAATTACTAATATTCAGAATAGAATTTCATTAAGCATGTGGGGATTAGATCAAAAAAAAAAAAAAGTTCCCACATGCAGCTTTACAGATACAGCTGTGTACCTTGTTTTCAAAAGGCACCTAGTGAAATCCTTGTATTACTGGAGTAACATTATTTAACCATCTATTTTCAGTCAAGAAGGAGTTTCCCACAAAGTGTGTAGTTATTCAAAGAAATTATTTTTATATAAAAAGCAATCTTTAAATCACATTTCTTTTTTTAAAAAAGTCTAGTTAATGAATCAAACATGTCTGATAAAAAATCACCTGTGGTGTTCAGGGGATATGTCATTATGAAATTAAACACGGTGCTCAAGTTAATGCTTCTATTTGTGAACCTGCTTCCCTTCTAACTTCCTTTCACAATCTACCAGGAAGTAAGTCTGTCTGTCTGTCTGCCTGTCTGTCTGCCTGCCTATCTCTCTCTCTCTCTCTCTCTCTCTCTCTCCATAGATTTTTGAAGTAGAAAAAACATGAAAATAAAAGTATAATTTTGACTATTAGTCACTTTGGAATGATCTCACTTTGAAAATTGTAGATTTGGGCGTGGGGATCATACAGTTATTAATACTTTAGATCAACACATTGATAAACAGGTCTTTTTTAAATCATCTGAGTTATTTGTAGAGGATTTCGATCATCATAAACTGCAGAATTGCAGTTTATTCAGTTAAAACATTTGCAGAATGGCAGTTTATTTAGTTAAAACATTTTGGAGTTTCACAGTTTGGACTAGACACATT